TTCTGTTTTGCTCCACACACTTTGATTCCTAAAATGGAAGAAAATTGCTTTTTATTCATTTTCACTGATTTGTTCATTGTTGTGTTTTTGATGTTTTCTGTTTGGTTCCTTTTTCGGGTAAATTTCCAAATGAAAGGGAAAGGGATTGCTCACTTTTGAATATGCCAAATATTCTTTCATTTAGCGGAAATTTGTAAATTTTCATTTCCATCTTGTATTAAAAAATTGGCTTTAAAAATTGGTAGCGCCTTTTTACAAGTGTTTACACAATTGGACTTTCACAATTCAAGTTCTTTGGTGATTTGTAAACTGCTTTATGATTTTTTTTTTACGTCTGTGATATATTGTAACGGGGGTATCTGTACTCTGTTGGATTCGGTGTTCTTTGGTTTCTGTTATATCTGTGAAATAAAATTTCTGTGTGAATGCCTCAACGAGTACTTTTTTTTGAAGGCGAAGTGTGTTTTTATCAAAATATCTTAACATCTCAGCAATTTATTTTCCTCATTTCTACTACAGAAAATGCGGTTTTAGCGGATTCTGCTTTGTAATTTTTTTTAGAATTTTAACTTTGGGTTGGGAGATTTTGCTGAGGTACCGAGAATTTATATATTGGAAGAGTTTGGGATTTTTTTTAGCTGAAACTAGTTTGTTCGTATCTGGTCACTCGATCGGTTTGAATCATAATAGCACAACATACCTGTGAAATATTGCTTTTTCGTTTATTTTTTATTCATATCTCTCCATAAGCTCAGCTGAAAATTTGTAATAATCAGCTTAATCATTGAGGAACTGATCTACGCGAGTTATCGATATGTAGAAAGTAGGCTTGTACAACTGCACCTCGACCCCCCTTCTGCCGAGGTTTCATCTAGGTTTACTTTGCAGCAGTGTATTCACTGATGTACTTGTTTTTGAGCATATAACCATGTTCATTAAATTTGAATTTTAAGGCAAAAAAGAGAAAGTAAGAAAAAAAGTGGTGGAATAGAAGAATTGGTCTTAAGTGTCATGAATCAGAGGACATTTTACGATGCAATCTGTGTTTCATCCCTCAGCTGTAAACACAGACCAAGCAGTGCATGGGGGTAGGAGCAGGAATCATCAGTACAGCCTTCTACCCGTCATGTTAGGAACATCAATCATCAGTACAGCCTTCTACTCGTCATGTGACTAATTTGCAAGACAGATATGCGAAAGAAAGCGAAGTCAGTCTTAGTGCGCAAGCGCCAATTTGCTGCAATAAAAGTCGTAGTAAAATTGTTTTTCCCGTGTACAGTTCAAGCAAGAGCGATGTAACAGATGGCTGTAGCATCATTCCTTCGAATTAATTTTTTGTATTTTACAGATATAAAAGCCAGGAGCAGCAGAGCGGTATGGTGGAAATAGTTGAACGGGACGGTGAGCCTGAAGAAATGATCGAATTGCCACAGAAGAAGTACTATCGACAGAGGGCTCATGCTAATCCGATTAGTGACCATGATATCGAGTATCCGGTCTCCCCGGACCAGTAAGTGCCTGCTAACGCCTCTTGTATTTTGACCGTTTTCTCGTGCATATTTGTTGTTTTCGTGCGTTAGTTTGTTGTTCTACGTCTCAAGCTTAAATCCTTGTTCCGGGACCAGTTTTCAAATTTCCCGCTATCTTTGTTGTACAACTTTTGATGCTTAGATTAGGATTACTGGTCGCAAATGTAGTAGTTAGTTGAATTAAAAATTTCCCGCTATCTTTGTTCTTGTACAACTTCTGGTGCTTGGATTAGGATTATTAGTCGCAAATGTACTAGTCGGTTGAATCAAAGATTCAATTTTTGAATTCCTGAAACAGACTAATGCCTCTTTTCTCGTCAGCCTTTCATTTCTCGTTTTTCCTCTTTTCTACCTTTCATTATAAGCTCGAAATATCCGGTGACCAGTACAATCGTGAGAGCTCCTTATAGCCGTTCGCTAACAGACAGTTCTAGGATTGGGATCAAGTGAGCGCCGAACTGTTAATAAAAAGCAGCGGCCATGGAAGCCCAACCAAAATCAGTCATTCTGAAGAAGGTTGACAAGAGGGTCGGAACTGTGAAGTGATATTTTGCGGCCATAAGTCGGCCGAAGCATACCTTGTGAAGTAGTGAATCGTGCTAACTGGAGAAAATTCAGCATAGCTGAATTCTCTTTTCTCATCCAAGCTATTTTCGTTACAACATGATGGTTAAGGGGCTGTACTGATGATTCCCACCCCTAACCACATCTCTTGCTGTCTGTGTTTACAGCTTAGGAACGAAACACAGGCATGCTTCCATTTACATACACCTCTATATTGTGACCTTTCCACATGACATACGGTTTTTGTAAAAATGCAACACTACAATCTTCTTGACCTTTAGTTTCCCCCTCTCCCTTTTTTTACGAATTGATTTGCTACTTTATTGCTGGTGATCGCTGTCCTCCGACGGCCTGTTCGTAGTCTCCTTAGAGGGCCTTTATTGCCCGTACTGGTTTTTATTACTCTTTACTGAGTTGACCATTGTTCCTGTCCGTGAGCTCTTTAGCCTTTTTCTATAGCTTATAGGGTCCAATACGCTCCATACCGCCTTCTGGCTCCATGTGCTTTAAGGCAGGAAGGATAGAATTTAATAGTGAATGGTAGTGGGGAAGATAGTTGACTAGATAATATGGTACAAACCTTTTAACACGTGAAATGGTCATCTATCTGGAAAATGTAGGGTGGTCTAACTTTGTTCCCTAATCTCATGCTAATCCGGAGAATGCCGTTGCAATGATTTCGTTTTGCTCCCTTTGAAAATGTTTGGTTCGAGGGTTCAGTTTTTAACAGCTATGATTTTCGAATTCAGATATAAAATTACGCTTTTTAAGAGATCGAGAACCAACTGAGTATTCTGAGGTTTTAAACGGTTTGCCTATCACTGTTTTTTTTAAGCTCCGTTCCTTCATGTGTATTGCTTTATTGTCCATTAGTGTAGTGCATCGGTTGAATTTTCAGGATGGATTGGAAGAGTTATTTTGGCGATTATGCGAACGGACGTCAAGTGGAGTTTGTTGACGTTGGCTGTGGCTATGGTGGCTTGTTAATTAAATTGTCGCCATTGTATCCGGAAGTGCTTATGCTCGGATTAGAGATTAGAGTTAAAGTTGGTTTTTTATTTCATGCTCTAAAAATACGACCAAGTTAGCCTGGGGAGGGATTATAAGCTCTGTGTGGTTTGGTTAGGGTTGTACCTTTTTTTGCTGTTCAGACTTTTAATCGAATTGGATCACGTACCCATGAATTCGGAAGACTTAAAATGACTTTAAAGCGGTTTTCGCGTGGCTTTTATCTTCAGATTCAAATTCAAATAAAGTCCGGCCGAATTTGCAATTTCGAATTTTAGAAAATTGAAAATTTTGAATTTACGAACTGTTTTAGAAAAATTACGAGCTGAAAAATTTCGAACTTTAGAAAATTTATGAATTTTAGGAAATCGATTAGTTCTGCTTTAATAGATTAAAAGTGAATGTGAAATGAAGTTATACATTATCATGGAAAGAAATGCATGTGTTATTGGACAGTGGAGATTTAGTCAGTTTAGAAGCCGATTTTTTTGCACCTATGGCTGCTATGAACAAATTGCTTATCATTGTGCGTTTTATGCTGTGTAACAGCAGTACAAAACGCATATTGTCACGGGGTTTCCTGTGTGTGTTTATGTATGTCTGTGTGTCCGCGGCAACTTGTCCGCAACTTTCAACTCGGGAACCACAAAAGCCAGGAAGCTGAAAATTTAGGGTAACGTTCCCTACCCATGTGTGGCCCCGCAAATTTAAATTCAGCTCCCCCGTACCCTCTGGTAACACGTATGACCCCATGAAAGTTTTTTTACGGGTAAATTAATATCTCGGGGACCACGGAGTCTAGGAGACTGAAATTTTAGGATAATGACCCCCTGCCCACGCTCAGTCTCGCTCATTCAAATTCAGCGTTCCCACGCTCTTGAGTATCACCTAGGGCCTCGTGAAAATTTTGGTGGGTAAACTATTAACTCGGGAATCACGGACAGATATTCACCCTTCAAGGTTTCGAATTCAGCTTTTCATTCGCTGGTGCGTAAGATATTTAACTGTTTTCCAATGTTTGAAGTATTTTTGCGTAGACTAAAGTACAAAGCAGTGAAAATCATTAACAGGCAATCGTTCGATGGGCTGA